GCTTTTTCCTAACTTTATTTTTAAGCCTCATTGGGTTTGTGTTATGCGTGACTTAAACTTAATATAGTGATTATTATATAAGGTTTAGATGTACTAGAGCGTGCAGCCAGACAGGACTGTGGTGTTAATGTGCTGTGAAGCTTTCAGAGTGTTGCTGAAAACCCTCACATGGAGTGTGCAGTGGAGATGGTCATGCCTCTGGTGTGCAATCCAGGCCATGTCTGCGTAACAGATAAAAACCTCTACTTCCAGCCTCTCAATGGATATCCGGTGAGATGACAAAGCAGGCTGTGGGAATGGTGTTGGTGTGGCTGTTTGTTCAGATGCTGAACACCAGTAATGTTTCACAAACAAATGAATTGTAATTGGTGTGCACGTCCCCTCCCTTCAGGAAAATGTGATTCAGATAAAACTGCACAACGTCAGGAGAATCTACAAAAGACGGCTTGGTCTTAGACCCCTGGTGAGTCGCAAGTGCTACTAAAGGTAGCTTTAATATCTTTCTTTACTGCAGTTTATTTGGGTGATCTCATGGGTTCATGTGTTTGGTCTCCCTGCTCAGGGTCTGGAGGTATTCTGTTCTGAGAATGACTTCTGTTCAGACATATACCTGAAGTTTTACAGCACGACCGACAGAGATGAAGTCTACTACTACATCGCAACTTTCCTGGGTGAGACGATACAAGCCTATTAATAAATGTCTGGTTTATTTTATCACTTCTTTAAAATATATTTTGCTCTAAAAGCCTGAGTTTGTGGCCTCTGGCTGCTGTTTTCACACATGTGCTGTACTCCTGAGCGGTTTCTGTCAAGAATACACAACAAATTGCTTTAAAATCTCTTTAGGATCTTTTTCTTCTTTTGCTTTGTGTTGTTGGCTTTGTGTTCATACCTAAATCCTAAGAAAGATCGAACGTGTCCCCATTAGGATACGGATTTGTTGGTGTGTGGGACTCATACATGCACAAAAGTTTGACCACACAACATGCAATTAATTTGCACAAATGCCTTTGATGCGCTGCACTGAGATGGGGGTGACTCTCAAAGCAGAGCCAATGAGAATGGATAAGGAATCAGAATTGTTAAACTCGTATCAATTCTCGTCCCTATTGTGAATCGAATAAATCTAAACCAAGTGGAGTTTTTCAGAAGTAACAACGTGTCTGTCTTGGACAATCTTCAATACAGCAATGTACCATGCTGCTTCCATTTGTGATACTTTGTTGATCATGCAGCAGTTCTGTCAGTAAATTATCAGAATCACGACTCACTTGTTTTGTTGAGATTTATTGAACAAATTGAATGAAAGTTAACCGACCAGCAGTAAAGATGCAGACGCGTACAGATAGCCCCAGTTTGTGCTGCGTGTTGAAAAGAGCATCTGCAGAAAATGTTTTCCTGAACATTGTGTGAAAATGATTAACAAGTGAATCCCTGTTTGCGTTTTACTGATCAATGATTACACGTGAAGGTGTGCAGCAGTGCACTCGCAGACATGGGTTTAAACCAGGGGTCCCCAATCCCAGTCCACGAGGGCCGGTGTCCCTGCAGGTTTTAGATCTCACCCTGGGTCATCACACCTGAATCACATGATTAGTTCATTACCAGGCCTCTGGAGAACTTCAAGGCATGTTGAGGAGGTCATTTATCCATTTAAATCAGCTGTGTTGGATCAAGGACACATCTAAAACCTGCAGGGACACCGGCCCTCATGGACTGGGATTGGGGACCCCTGGTTTAAACAATACTGGATATAAGTGAGATCTAAATGTTCAAGGATTTAGGAGCAAACCGTGTGCCACTGTTAACCCTCAGCTACAGCCATCAAGTGATCACTAAATAGTCCAAAGCTGCAAGTAAACCTGGTTTCTGTGTGACGCAGAAGCAACTTATGTAAAAACTGCTGTTGTCTTTATAAAGCAGTGCCGCTGATGCTTCATTCTCGGTGATTAACTGAACCATGTAACTGTGCTGTTTTCCCCTTTCTCGCTCAGAAAACCACACGATAGAGCACACAGCAGAGAGTTACATGTTGCAGTGGCAGCGTGGTCATCTCAGCAACTACCAGTATCTCCTCCACCTCAACAACCTGGCTGACCGCAGCTGCAACGACCTCTCGCAGTACCCCGTCTTCCCCTGGGTCATCGCTGACTATACCAGCCCGCGGTTAGGTGGGTCCGCAGACCTTTGCTGCTTTCTCCTGTCAGAGTGATGGTGGCTGAGATTTTGGGTCTTGCATCTTTGTAAAGATGCTGTATTTTCTCACTGTTGGGACTTCGCTTTGTTTCTCAGA